CCGGGGCGGGGCGCGGCGCGCACACGCGGCGGGGCGCACGTGGCCGAGCCGAGCTGCCGGGGTCCGGCTGGTTGGCTCCACCTGGGGGGAGACAGGGGAACCCCTGGGTAAGAGGCCGACATTATGACGGCCTCCAGTATTCTGGGGGAGACTCGCGGGAAGCGTGGCTTGCTGGGCCCCCGAGCGCTCCGAGGGTCGCGAGCTAGTTTGGTGGGGGGCGCCGTGGCCAGATCCTGCGCGGGGGCGCCAGACTGTTACCCTGACAGGGCCTCGCCGTGGGGTCCGAGGGGGCACATTTTCTACGCTCAGGGACCGGCCTATGGCCGCGACCCGGTGGGGAAGGTATGAGGAGCCGGCAGGGCTCGGGGAGGCGCGGCCACGGGGCCGCGGCGCGAAGAATCTGCGGGCCCGGAAGAGCAGACAGCCCCGCGGCGACCGGAAGCTCCACTCGGGAGGCGGAAGCGCCGCTCCGGGTGCGCTGGGTGGCGGCGGCGGCGGCGGCTGCGCCTGCTAGGAAAAGGACTTTGAAAAGCCAGGCGATTCATGTCGGTTACGGTGAGGTGTTTTTGCAGGGTCCAGGCCGGCTATAGTGCATAGTCATTTGTTTATTCATTATGTTGACCAATAAATATGTTCAGCCGGTGTGCCACTTTTCAGACATTGGCATGTTTTATATTCTTTAAAGAAAAGAAAGTGTGATTGTAAATAAGAGGAGCAGCAGCCTGGGTCTCAGGAGGGCTCGCCTTTTGTACCAGAAGCAGTAGGTTCAGAGAGGCTTTGAACAGAACAGAAATCGAGGATCCCAAACTCCAAAGCATACTTGGAGCTTCTCCCCTTTTGCACCTGTAGTTTTTCCTTTTTCAACAGGTTCTTGCTATGTAGTTTAGGCTGGCTTGACTCTTTATGTAGCCCAAACTGGCTGAACACGCAGCAATCCACTGCTGCCTCAGCCTCTTGAGTGCTGGGATTGCAGGCAAGCGCCACCACTTCTGGCTTCGTTTGACTTAAAGTCACTAGGAATAGCTACCGTCCTCATTTTCCTTAGACAATATTCATGATGTGGATAGATACAATCTGTGCTAATAGAATTTTTTTTCTTTTGTTTTTTAGAGATAGGGTTTCACTATACAGTTCTGCCTGGCCTTGAACTTACAGCTATCCTCCTGCCTCAGCCTCCCGAGTGCTGAACTATTCCCTTTTTTTTTTTTTTTTGGTACCGAGAATGAAACGCATGACCTAGCGCTTGCCAGGCAGGCCTACACCATTGAGCTATATCCCTGGCCCTGTCCATGATGCCATTCTCAGGATTTGCATCCCAAATTTGCCTTGTGAGTCTACTATTTACTGAGAATAGCTAAAGCTTCCTGCAGGTAAGTCCATGCTCTTCAGATGACACATCTGTATCCTAATGCATCAGCTTCTTAACACAATCCTTGAAAGGGGAATTACAAGTCCTAGGTTCTCCCCTTGATTTGAAATCACTAGGGCCTATAACCTGCTCTGAAACCTAGAAATAGGAGTAAAACCAGCCATATATATATATATATATATATATATACCATCTTCATGAGAGTATTTTCTGCAAATCCATTCTATTCTTGTTTTAACAGGAAGAAAAAAATGTCTCAAAAGCAGATGAAGGAAGCTTTCATCAGTAACCTCAATGGAACTAGTGTGCTGGAAATCACCCAGGGCTTGTGCCTACCTGCATTCTGTATCTTGTTCAGAGGGCTCCTGATCATTTTCTTACAGGACTTGTGTTTTAATTCACATACCTGGAGAACTCGATTCTTCATTGACTTTGTTGTCCTAGTAGTTCCCCTGGTGACTGCTTTGACCATTTTGTCTTCATTTATCTTCCTTGAACTTCTCATTGTAATTATCTGCGTGGCAGGGCTGTTCTATCAAATATACCAAAGGAGGACTTGTTATGCTAGAGTGCCTGTCCAGAAAATCCTTGAAAAATTTTTGCAAGTCAGTCTAGAATCAGAATACAATCCAACCATCTCCTGTTACCGTGTATCTAACAGTGTATTTGTCGCTATTGCCATTTTGGCTGTGGACTTCCCACTTTTCCCCAGAAGATTTGCCAAAACTGAGCTCTATGGGACAGGGGCAATGGATTTTGGAGTAGGCGGCTTGGTTTTTGGAACTGCGATGGTTTGCCCAGAGATCAGGAGAAAATATATGGGGAAATCTCGATTTTATTGTCTTCTAAAATCGTTGTACTCTGCTTGGCCATTAATCATCCTAGGACTGGGACGATTAGTTACTATAAAATCCATAGACTATCAGGAACATTTAAGTGAGTATGGAGTACACTGGAACTTTTTCTTTACCTTAGTTGTCGTAAAACTGGTAACAACAGTGCTTTTGATTGTTTTCCCCCTAAATAAATCCTGGATTGTGGCCATCAGCATTACTGTGTTATACCAGCTAACCCTTGACTTGACCCCACTGAAGAGGCTGATTTTGTATGGCACTGATGGCAGTGGCACAAGGGTTGGTTTATTAAATGCTAACCGAGAAGGAATAATCTCTACTTTGGGGTATGTGGCAATTCACATGGCTGGTGTGCAAACAGGATTGTATGTGTTTAGGAACAGAACACATGTCAAAGACTGTATAAAAGTAGCATGTTGTCTTCTACTAATAAGTATTAGCCTCTTCATATCTCTTCACATAGTTCAAGTAAATGTAGAAGCAGTATCTCGAAGAATGGCCAATTTAGCCTTTTGTATGTGGATAGTTGCTTCTAGCCTCATCTTTCTTAGTTGTTTATTACTGACTGATATAATTTTGAGTTTTGCCAAATTTCTGATTAAAGGGGCTCTAGTACCATGTTCTTGGAAACTTATCCAGTCACCTGGTACAAATAAAAAGCATTCTGAATTTCTAGTCCCCAAAGCTGAAAGAAAGCAAACCAGTCCATGTTTAATCACAGCTCTGAACAGAAACCAGCTAATATTTTTCTTGCTGTCAAACATAACAACTGGCCTGATCAACCTAATGATAGATACATTACACAGCAGTACCTCGTTTGCATTATTTTTGCTCCATGTCTATATGTTTACCAACTGTTTAATTATATATGTACTTTATTTGCAAGGTAAAACTGTGAAGTTTTGGTGATCAATAAGGGTAGCACATATTTATCTTTGAGCAACATATTAATGGGGAAGAATAAATGTGAAAAAAATGGGCTTTCGGAAACCAAGTCTTTACATATTCTGTTATAAAACTGACGTTCTAGGGGCTGGAGATTTAGCTCAGTGGCACAGTGCCTGCCTGGCAAGCACAAAGTCATGAGTTCGATTCCTGGTACCGGAAAACAAACAAACAAACAAACAAAAAAAACAATAAAACTGACGTTCTAGTCAGGCATGGTGGTGCACGCGTATAGTCCCAGCACTTGGGAGGCTGAGGCAGGAGGATCACCAAAAGTTGGCCAGCCTGGGCTATATAGCAAGACCCTCTCTCAAAAAAAAAAACCAAACAAAAAACAAACCCCTGCAGTTCCAGTCCTCTCTAGTAGTAATGATGTCTGCCTTCCTTTCCTTTCCTTTTCCCTTTGTTTTGAGTGTGTGTGGGGGTGTCTCACGAGTTTGCCCAGGTGGGAGTCATCCTGCCTTTAATGTTTTCCAGCATTATATAAAAGCAATATAGAAGAAATAAAGCCTTGTAACTTGTTAAAATTTGTTAAATGCCAGTATTTTAAGGAAACTTCAGAGTTTTGACACTGGAACATGGGAAAGTTGGGATTTTTATTATCTTAACATCATCACCTTATGTCATTTTGTATTTTTCATTGTATGTTTACATTAAATGGAATGTTTACATGAAGACATTGCAGTATGAATTGCAGATTGTCAGTATGTACTTTATCGCTTAATTTCTGTCTTTAATAATAGCAAGTGTTTCAAATCAAATACTTAGGAATTGAGAAAACAGTTAAATGATCCCAGCAGACCGAATTGTGTGATATAGTTTATGTACATAGTAATTATGAGACCAAAGTTCTGCTTATTTTAGCCTACTGTACTAGGGATACAATGACAGCCACAGCACAAATTTCCTGAGTCTGTGGAGCTTGCAATATAGTGGGAAAGACATGTTATGTAAATATTATAAATTGTTAAATCAGGAAAAAAAGTATAGGTTGCCACAGTGTCAAAGAACTGAGCCAGCCGGGTGTGGTGGTGCACATCTGTAATCCCAGCACTCGGGAGGCTGAAGGAGGAGGACTATTGCGAGTTTGAGACCAGCCTGGGCTACAAAGTGAGCTCAAGGTGAGCCTGAACTGCATAGCGAGATCCTGTCTCAAAAAAACAAAAAAAAAAAAAAAAAAAAAAAAGTCCAAATTTTGACTGTGACCTGTAACCTATCATAAGCTGCACGTACATCCTATATGCTTACAGGATTTAAACTCAAGATCATACGATTCTGCTTTCTTAACATGAAAAGATAAGCCTGATAGTCACACCTTGGAACTAAACAATGGTTGTTCCAGGTTGTTATGTCACCTACCCTAACAGTGACCACACAATGTCATAAATCAGCATGGCTAAGGATGCACTATGGAGTTTTTGTTGTGAATTTCTAAGACTTCATGTGATGTCCCAAATACTTTCTAAAGGTCAGGAACAAAACTTCAGCCTATTCTCCCAGGAAATACAGAGCTGTCCGAAGGATTGGTCAGTTATAAGAGCAGCGCATCAAGACCTTCACAGGCCAAATACATCCCAACAACTTAGTCTTCAAGGCAGGATCTGAGTGCACGCAGTGGACAGTGGACAGGCACTGTCTTTACAGCAGCAGCTCTGCTTCTGGGAGCCGGTCGGGGGAAAGGCCTTTGGCCACTTGCAGTGCTTTGTCCCCCACCAGTACTTTGCCCAAGTTAATATTAATTCAGCCTAAATCTGAACTCCTTTGGCCAGGACTCTTACATCAACCACCAGTCAGCGTTCCATTTGCCTCTAGCGCAAGGAAACCAAGGACCCGTGAGCAGGAGCGGCTTCCATCCTCCCGGCGGAGCTGGACGCTCAGAAGCAGATACGCAGCGGGCGCCGCTGAATCAGCCGAGGAGGCCGGGTCCTCTGCCCCCAGTCTACCCCGGAGGGGAACCAGGTGGTGTTAAGCGCCTGGAAACCAAGGCCAGAGTTTGTTTCTTGCCCCGCTTGCGCCTTTTCCTCACTGACCTTGGGAGCCTTGGCGTCTCACCACGTACCCAAGCCCTCCCGGGACCCGGACCCTGAGTTAGCCCATCTCCGCTCCCTTCAGCCCTCGACCCTCTGGAGAGCTGCTCTCAGCCCCGCGTGGAGGAGGACTGAGGTGTGAGCCCCCTGAGTCCTCCTGTCAACACTACCCCGAGTTTGAGGACCTAAATTCGCGAGAGTACGTGGTGACAGGCGCGGGATGGCCGGGATGGCAACACCGCCCCCATCTCCACACAGACTTCAGAAGCCAGGACGAGAGCCGCGGCCCGCAGTCTCGCGAGAAGAGGCGGGGACCCCGCCCGGAGCGCTCGGCCCCTCCCGGCCCCACCCTCCCCACGTCTCCCGCCTTCCCTCCCCCACTCCCCGCGGCGCGAGCGGCTGACCGAGCCTGGAGAGGAAACGGCACTCGCAGCCGCGCTCCTGCCCAGGCCGGCCCTGACGCGGGCCTCGTCAGCCGGTAACGGGGAGCAGAGGCGGGGGCCAGGGAGGCGACCGCTAAAGCGGTGAAGGTCAGAACCGGGAGCCCTCCAGCGACCAGGGTGAGGACCAGGTCCGAGCCTGCCCCTTTCCCGGACTCCGCAGCGCTGAGGCGGGGTCGATCCCTCCCAGGGGCGGGGTCGCGCTGGGCAGCTGCAGCCTAGGGGAGCCGCCGGGCGGGGCGCGCCGGGAAGGGGCGCAGGGGTCAGCTGTGGGCTGAGGGCACCTCGGCAGCAGGAAGCGGGGAGTGGGTTGTGGAGTGGAGATCCGGGGAGGGATCCCGGAGCCGGGACTCCCGTGACGGGCGGGGAAGCCCCGGGTCGGCGAGCCCTTTCCGCCTCGCCTTTGGACCCTGACTGGAGGCCGGCGGGCGGGGGAGGGAGGGAGAGCGGCGCGAGGGGGCGGGTCCCGGCGCCGCCGGGCGCTGATTGGCCGAGCGCGTGTGGAATCGGGTGATGGGAAACGCAGCGTGGCTCTCGCGTCCGCTCCTGCTCGGCTCCCTCCTCCCTGTGGCGAATGTGCTGCGCGGCGACGGGTGCTTACGTTCGCGGGGTTTGGCTGTTGCAGGCAGGAGCTGGGAGGAGGCGGCAGCGGCTGGAGCAGCAGCGGCGGCAGCTGGGAGGAGGTGGTGACGGTGGCAACGGCAGCGTCGGGGACGATGGCGCGACTGGTGGCAGTGTGCAGGGACGGGGAGGAGGAGTTCCCCTTCGAGAGGAGGCAGATTCCCCTCTACATAGACGACACACTCACGGTGAGCGGGCCGGGCCGGGCTGGGCCCGCTGCTCCCCTGGCAGCTGTTTCCCCTCCTTCCCCTCCCCCAGGCCGAGCGCTGCGCACTGGAGAAAGAGTGTGTTGCAACTCCTAGGCGAGGCCTTCTCCCCGGCAGGCCCCACAAACTCGTCTTTGCAGCCAATCCCTCAGTACCCTGTGCCGTTCCAAGGCCCGCGCTGCTAACGCGGTTTGAGCCCCTCTCCCCAGATTTTCCTTCCTGTTGAACCCTCTTCATTTAACCCTCTCCCTTTAGGAGACTCTGCTTTTTGCCAAAGCACGCGCCTTGGAGAAGGGTTGAAGGATCTTGGGCTTTGGGGCCTATCCCTTACAGAAACCTCCTACCCTCGGGGAGACTTAATTATCTGAAAATGTCGCAGCTGCATTGCTACCTGTGTATTTTCTGTTTTAATGCCTTAGCTCTCACTACACAAGCGTAATTACCGAGGGCAGGGTGACATGCTCTTGCACACTAAAGATTGCACTAAAATGATTCGGTTTCGTTGTAAGTAGTCTCACATTGTCTAGCACATTCAAATTCTTGAAATGATTGTGTTGCTAGGCCATGACTCTTCAAAATGGGCTTTCTTGTTCTTCTTTAGTTTACAGGTTGCCTTTTTGAGGGGCAGCGAAATTGTTGAATGTGTAAGAGTACTATAAAAAGCGGATTGCTCATCTTGAGTGTAAAGACCCAATCCTGGGTAGTTTTATTTTTTCATAAGATTTGGTGCTGACCCTCTGCCCTGTGTTGCTGTACCATTTCCCCTAAAAGGAAATGGCAGAAATTTGAATTGAACCTGAACAGGAAATGAGTGCAGTTGCTTGTCACTATTTATTAAGAAATTAAATGAACCTTTTCTTGATGTCTTTTGAAATTTACATTTTGCTGATGTTGACACTGGGTTATATATTTGCCTATTTTGATAAGATGTATATAAGATTTCTCCCCTTAGCATCTTTGGCTTTTTTGCTGTTCAAGGACAGTTGAATAGCAAATTTTCTTTCTTTTTTTTTTTGCAAATACCTACCGAAGACTTTCACATTTTATATAAAATGCAAGTCATTGTAGAGATGCCAGTCTGTGCCTTTTTGCTACTCTCAATTGAGATTTGATTGAGCTACAGTGCTTTCAAAGCATTAAAAGAGCTGTTGAATATCTGTTTGTTAGGACTTTTCAAGTGAAAGTATCTCTAATTACTCCCCCCTTAAAAAGGCAGATAGGTTTTTAAAAATTGTTTGTATGCCCCGTCGTGATTTTGGTAAATTAAAAATTTTGCGTTAGAAGTGTAATGGACTTGCATGTTTATTTATTTAATTTTGGCTTTTTTTTTTTTTTTTTTTTGAGATGGGGTGTCTCGGGGTCATCCAGGCTGGTCTTCAATTCTGGACTTAAGTAGTTCTCCCCACTAGGTGGACTGCAGGAATAAACTATCATATTTTGCTCCGCACTTGTATTTATTTATTTATTTGTTTATTTATTTTTTTGAGATAGGGTCTCACTATGTAGTTCAGGCTGGCCTTGAACTCACTATGTGGCCCAGATTGACCCAGAACTTGCAGGGATCCCTTCCCACGTGCTAAGATTACAGGTGTGCACCACCACACCTTGCTTGCAGTTGTATTTTAAATAGATTAAAAAAAAAAAAAACGAAAAACCAAACACTGCTATCAAATAAAATCTTTCTTAATGTGGAAATCTTTGGTAAAAGCTTATTTGTTGATACTCTCTCTCCCTCCAACATAAACACTTCT